ATTAAATGATTAATTAATTATCATATTGTAATAATTAAAAATATAGCAATTAACCAATATATTTACATTAATTAAATTAATTTTGATTAAAGATAACTAAATTGTTGTTTTTTATATTCGCAGTGTATTAGTCAACAAGTGCAACGATCATGTAAACATATTAAAGTAAAAATAAACACACATCAAAGAGATCTGAATCCAGGAGACACATTGCACGGTAGCTTCCTGTAAATAATTATTCTATATTTATGAATGATTCGACTAAATTTAATTTAGATCACAATTCCTAAAAGACGTAAGTGTAATTTCTGAAAATAATTTAAATTTAACCTTGATATCGAAGAAATACGTGGCTCACTCCGTTATGACTGCTATTAATAACGCAATGTCAATAAGATATTTTTGTCAAATTATAAATCGATCGAATGTCACGGAACATTACGAATCTTTTCGTCAATGTCTTCGAAACAACATTAAATTCTTGATCAGCTTGTATTCATGTTCATGAAAAATTTTATAGTGTTTAAAAAATATAAAACTCAATATTACTTGTCCTTGAACCTATTTATCCTAAACAAGAAAAACTAAAATTAAACTAGGCTGTGCGATAAAACCACCATTGCCTGCTCCATATTAAAAAAAACAATGGAAGAGAGATTTTTTTTTTCCAATGATGGAAGAGAGAATAAAAGTAGTCTACTTTTAAACTTCTTCATATTTGAACAAGTGATTCTTATTATATTTATTTATTATGTTTTCATTCGTGTTCAATTTAAGTCTTATCCGTAGTCCATATCCTTGTCTATAAAATATGTAAGATAAAAGGACTCTATCCATACTGCCATATCAGTAACACATTTTTTTATTTATTTCTGTAATTCTTAAAAGAACGTGACGGGAAAATTGTGCGACCAACAACCAGAACAAATTGTATTAGCGCCGCAAAATTAGGAGAGCCGACCCCACATAAAGTGGGGAGAAATTAGACAACATAAAGAAGAAGAATTGGTAAAACAACACGTGGGATATTGAAAAGAAGGAGACGTCAAAGTATTAAAACAATATCGCAATACTAAAGAGATAGTACTAAATATTCTTTGATTTCGTTTTAAATTATTAATATATAATATATTATAGAGACATGTAGGTTGCTATATAACTTGGTGTAAACACACATACGATAAAAATGTACATTTGTGAAAAATTAACCAAGAAATATATCTTATGATATAAATATACTTTAACAATTAAATTAATACGTTAGGACATTTAATTTAATTTAATAGGAATGGCAAACAATCTGATGGCGCCTTTGATCATAATATTATATCATTTATATATCATACACGAACAGTAACATGATCATCACGTCATCATGTGATGTCCGTAGCTCCCTCATACATTGCCATTTCAGAAGATCAACATGTCATACTTGCTTAAACTGTAAATTCACTACCTTATCTCACCTTTCGACCGTTCTTTTCTGTTGGAGCAGTCTTTTTACAGTGCTAGTTAATTTCTTAGCGAGAAAATTGTATGTATATAATAATTTCAAACACAATTGTTACTGAACAAAAAAAATTAAAAAAAAATCTGCCATAGACCATTTTGTACAAAGTCCAATCTAAGTCAACATCGATCAAATGACTACGTCAGTCGTCATAATGACGACAATATAAAAAAAACAGTATATTGAAGAAAAATCATCGCCAATATAAGTGGAAATATATATATATATATATTTAGCGGGTAAGATGGGGCCGCTATTATTTATGTTTGTGTTTTGTTCATGTAGCAGCAGCGGGAAAGAAAGAGGTGAAGAGAAACCAGTCGTGACTATTTACATATTTATAATGTAGAAGTATTTACAATGAATATATATACAAGAATGATTCGGTCTCGAATGACAGGCCTGTTATTTTATTCTTCTGTCGTAACTAGGCAACGGTGTTGCCGCGCGATTATAATTAATTCGCCACATATATATATATATATTGTTTCAGAATATTTATTACAAAACGAGAGAACTGCGCACGTATAATGTATATTTCTTTTACCTCACAATGACGCATTTTGCTGACCTTTGCAGCACTTTGTTGCTTTTGCATATGTTTAAATACACATCTACATACGCGGCTTAAAACTTGCAACAGTGAAAAAGCTAAGGCGATAATTTAACCGGTTAATCTGATCAAGCGAAATTTTAGAGTAATCAACAAATAAATATGTCAAGTTAAACAAATAAATAAAAAAACGATAGAAAAACTGACGGGCCACCTTTTTTGTCAATCAAGCATACGCCCCATCTGATGGCAAATAGGTGCCGTAGCTTATAGACGGCATGTGGTTAAAATGATAGAAAACTGATGGACCTCCTTAATTTGACAATCAAGCATACGCCCCATCTGATGGTAATTAGTTGCCGTATGAACGCCTCAAAACACCTGACGGTAAGTGGTAACTGTTAGTATTTGTAAGTCCCTGAAAAGCATCAAAGATAACGTTACGTCTAGAGGACTCTTAGTACTCTGGATTGACAACACATGTTATATTTACTTACACTGCAATTTCACTGTCCTACAGAAAGCAAGTTACTTGGTAGCTGAAATCAAGAGAGACCTACCTACTCAAACGACTTTGTACGTCTACTTTGATAATATATTGATATAATATAACAATTACATCAATTGATATAATATAACAATTACTTAATTTAAAAAAAATCAAATCATAGTTTTTATTGTTTTATTTATCACTTTGGCAATGACAAAGAAAGTAAGTCCATACAGCTATCCTTTGCGTCATCTTAACTCGTTTATTTTTATTTAAATACCTTTCTCTATAACACAAGATCTGTGTTACAGCTTTATAAATTTAGTAGAGTCGTTGAATAAATCACAGGTTATTCAAATCTTTGTAAACATGTGACAATGATACTTCTGCAAACAACAAATTACATCTCAGTCTGTATGTAAATGTTTAATTTCTTAGGAGATCAAGGACGAAAGAGCAAGAGAATAATAATATTTAAAATTGATAATTGTTGTCTGTCAACGTTTATTATATTGCTTTAAATATATATAACACAAAGGTGACTGACATAATGATCCATCAACGCACAGCCCAAACCACTGAACGGATCGGGCTGAAATTTGGCATACAGGTGGACGATGATGACGTAGGCATCCGCTAAGAAAGGATTTCGATTAAGTCTACTTCCAAAGGGATAAAATAGGCGATGAAAGTTTGTATAAACTTTGTCAATCAACGCGAATCAGTCGCGGGCAAAGGCTAGTATATTATAAATGCGGAAGTTTCTGAGTGTGGATGGATGTTTGTTACACTCACGCAGAAACTACTGAACGGATTTTAATAAAACTTTACAATAATATAGCTTATACATCAGAATAACATAGGCTATAAATTTCACGCATGTGAAAACGTGGGCACATCTGATTTTCAATAACACTCATGACGTGACGTCCGTAGCCATTGCAGCTACTTAAAAAGACGCGAGCAAAGCCACATTTTATATCTAGTACTTCATTACATTACATAGTATAAAACAAAGTAGCTGTCGCTGTCTGTCCGTCCCTATGTATGCTTAAATCTTTAAAACTACGCAACGGATTTTGAAGCGTTTTTTTAATAGATAGAGTAATTCAAGAGAAAGGTTTATATATATAATACATGTACACCCGTGCGAAGCCGGGGCGAGTAGCTAGTTCTATATAGTTCTAAATTGCAAGTACTTTGAAATATGCTCATATTTAGCTTTCGGTTTGAATTGCCTCAAGGATCGCAGAGTAGGTAATGGGTGTCCTTGGCTATACACACGCGATATGGTAATTTATTCTCATATACCGATATTGTACTTACAGGAATATTTTTGTTAGCATTTTATTATCTATCTGATATGACAGAAGCAATAATATTTACAACAGAAAACGATTCCGTATGACGTATTTTTTTATAGTATAGGAGACAAACGAGCTCGCGGTTCACCTGACGGTAGGTGATTATCGCCGCGTATGAGAAACTGCAATGCCAGGGGAATTGCAAGATGCCCGGCTTTTAAGAAGGACACATGGATAGATATCTCTGTCTCAGATTTACAAGGATTTGATTAACCTAGGTCTCTACTGAAAATCAAGAAATTTATAGAGTAATTATTATATTCTCTATAAAATAGATCTACCGCTGTATAGAAATTATATATAAAAAGAAAAAACGTATAAAGACAATATATAATGAAAATAATATCTTAGGACAATTCACAGCGCCATCTAGTCCCAAGCTAAATAGAGCTTCTGTTATGGGTACTAGATAATGAATACAAAAACATATATATTGTTTTTCGTAAATACATACATATTATACATAGAATACACCCAGACGATACAAACAATCATACTCATGAATACAAATGATTGTGCCGTGCGAGGAATCGAACCCGCGATCACCAATAATAAGCTGGACATAATCTCTTTGCCATTGCTAAATAATATATCGGATAGACGTATAGCAGATGCTTGTCAGTCTAACACGAAAAAAAAATAACGAGACATTGTACAAATTAGTTTGAGTAGGTGTGGGTATTTGTAATGTGTTTCGGTTGTAGGATAAAATAAGGCAGTGAAATTAAAGGGTACGGAGGCATGACACCTTAGTCCTTAGAAATGAGAAGGCATGGATAGAATCGTTGTTAAAATAATTGTAATAAAATATATTCTTTATTTTAATTGTATTTAGTAGGTATACGAAAAAATCAGTGAAGTATACGCAAGAGCAGAGTTCATTGATAAAAGTACAGTACAATTCAGATATTGACGTAAATATACTAGTTATATTATCCAAGTTATTTTTAATCATATTTGTTAAATCTGTACATTAATCATCAAAATTGATGAATTATTTCTGTTCATAATGAATTTAATATTTACAAATATAATTAAAATCAACGATACAATCATAAAATAGATATTTCTGCAAAACTCTCTGTTCACTATAAACATTTTCAACATGAAAAACGTGTGTATAATAAAAACAACGTTTAACACCAAATAAACGAAAAACATTACGTGAGAAATTAAAGAAGGCGTGTCACAGACAGACCAATTAGTTACCTTCACACATGAAAACAATAACACTGTCGCCTCGGAACTATTACTCGTCACTAATGTGTATAAATAACCTTAATACATTACACGGCCAACAAGCGAGCTTTCGCATAACCGTTCACAACTAAGTAATTAGGAACATGTTTATACAAAAACAAATATTTCCACTACACTATCTAATAACATTTTCATTGTTTTTACAACTAAACAAAGCACAAATAGTCCGTGGCACCAATATGTTACTATAAAAATATCATGTCCTACTGGTGCTAAATCTCGTCGGAGTCGGATCTTATTGAGTCGTAATTCGAGGTTTTGCTTTTCAACATTCTAATGAATGAGCCCATTGCAAATATTGTTCTTCTGTGTCTATGAAATATACCCTGATATAAAACACCTCTCACCGCCTTCCTGTCGTCTGTAATGGAAGGCTGTGTACTTAACGTTACGTCGGAATGCGCTCCGATTGTCTTCTGATGTCTAAGGCTGCCGTGATTCTTCTCTAAAGACTTTTGATTCGGCAAACTCATTGTAGATTCTATGGACGAATTCTTTGTTTTCCTTAAATTGAGTATTTTCTTGCCAGAGGATTGCGTTTCAGATGTCGACCGCGACGGAGCAAGTTTTGACCTATGTAGAGGATTATTTGCAGCCTCTGGATGGACCATTATTTCTACTGACTTTTGACTGACAGCGCTTGACCTCGTCAATGTTCTTTGGTGGGATGGTGCAGGATCCGATTTCGGAACCTCTTTGGGTATCGACTGTTCAGCTTCAACAGCAATCATATTTAAAGTATTTGTTGTTGATCGTGGAGAAACAATTAATTAATTAAATAATGGACAAGGCAATTACATCATAGGTGGGCGGGATTCATCAGCGCTGTCAACAGAGGGCACAGTCAGGTGAATGTCAAGTTCGGTATTGCTTGGCTGGTCGTTTCTTGCGAGACCTTCGCAGCAGTTACTAAATGTTATGGTCGGCACTTTACCATCACTGTCAATATTAACCGTATTTAGGTTTTGTGCTAAACAATCTACCTGAGAGTCTTTATCTTTGTTTTGGTCATTGGAGTTTGCGCTCATAATCGGATTGAGCCATTCCTTCTCATCTTCATTTGCTCTATCTACGTCTGGCGAAGAGACGATGTCCTCACGGTTTAAGGCGGCGGTGCAACTTTCTCCATTCACATGAAGACCTATTAGTCCAGCTAAATTTACATTGAAATTCTTACTTCTATTTGACTGCTTGGGTTCTTCTGTTGTTTTGACCTCCTCGGTGATAATGCGCTCAGTGATTGTTTCGATTTCGTTTTGTAAAGCTTGATCGTCTTCATAGAATTCAGTAAGACCTTGTAGGTTTTCGTACCAGCTGTTACCAAGAAAACTTACAGGAGGGATACCTTTATGTTCGATATGTGCTTGTCTATAATTATCGATGAGGGGTTGCAGAGACTCTTCGTGTTGTTGGAACAAGTATTGATAGGCCTGGCTCACTGCATATAGTGAGTAGGCAGAACGAGGTCTCGGCACCACAGATGCTGATGGTTTATGTGCCAAACAACCACGCCACACGTGACCGTGCGAGCGCTCGCTCAGTATTGTATTACAATTAAGAATCCTTTCAAAGTCCGACACTTGCTCGGCTTCGCTGATCTGCAACAGCAGTTTGTTCTCCGTCTCTTTCCCGCAGCCAACAGTTTGACACAGCCTCTTGTTGTCGCTGACCTGTTTAGAAGGATTAGAAGACTTAGTTCTGTTAGCATCGATTTGATTAGTATTACATAAATTCTGTGCCGGTTTGGAGGTTGAATGTCTAGGTTTGGGGTTATCGGCATACTTCATGGGTATGGAGAGAGTTTGGATGGACACGTTAAATGGTACTTTCTCGGTTAATTTCTTGTTTTGCTTTTTAACGACAATATCGCAGGGTTTGCATTGAAATTTCTCAGTTGATTGTGGACGCTTATGGAAGAGTTTTTCAGTGTATCGAAAACGATTGTGGTCCGCACTTCTAACGTTCCGTGCATATTGTGATTTAGGTCGTTCTACTAAACAGACACTTTTGGCTCGTAAAGGGATATCGCGTGGCTGACTAGTGGATGCCACTTTGGCCCTCGCGGGGTGTTTTATGTACAGTCGAGGGTTAATTTCGCAGGTATCGTACATGGGCGCGAGCGGTTGCGAAGTGTTGTTCCGAATGACTGCTTTCCGTTTCCACGTGTACAGTTCTTTGCAAATTGTGAAGAGTGAACGTAAAAATTAAATTATAGTGATGGCGTGCCGCGGCCGATCGATTCCATTATTCCACCGTATACAGACGGGCATTAAGTTCAACCGCGGTTTGATGCTCGATCTGAATAGGGTTACCATCTCTAGACTCTGGCAATCAGGACAAGTAGTATTTAATCTCGGATTTTCATCTCAGAACCCGGACGTATTTATAGTATTATTTTTTTAAGTTACATAATAAAATAAAACATAGTTTTTTTTTATTTTAGCAAGCGAGTCGCCGATTATTGTTAATTAGTGACCGGAAACTTCAAAACTTTTAAATCCCGACAATAAATGTTACCAACATCAAAACTTTTAAATCCTGACTATAAATGTGGGTAACATTTAAAAGTTTTGAAGTTTCGACCGAACGATACGCTAACGCCCTCTAAGTTAGGACAAATCCGGGAAAACCCGGCCGAATGGCAACCCTAAATCTGAACAATGACAGTTTTATTATTGTTGCTTTGTACATACCGTGCATGCTTTTTAACCTAGATATTGGATTGATTTATTGGGTCGGCGGTTGTAAGAAAAATATTATGTAACAAGCTATCGTTGAGAAGAACCGTAACGAACAGTTATTGGATTGTTATGTTGCAAAGAATCAACAAAATACAAACAAATTTATGGGTTATTCTAAAGTTTTTTTTTTATTTGTCACAGTATGCGGGAGTTTTTCTGTATGCGAATTTTTATTATTAATTTATTCATAGTTAATTTATATCAAGTCATTATTATTATTACCCGAGACTTCTTCCACGTGTCCGTAGACTTTTTTTTTATAAGGGATGACAATGGAATGCTGCACCCGCCTGCACTAACAGTATACGCTGTCAGGACACCAGTTGAGGATGATAAGATGAGAATGACATCAGGTCAGTTTCTTTTAATGGAGGATAATGGTATGTTGCACCCGCCTGCGCTAACGGTATATGCTGTCGGGACACCAGTGAAGGATGATAAGATGAGCATGAGGTCAGGTCAGTTAGCCCATCGTGACAAATTCACCAGGAATTTATCTAGATGGTTTCCAGGATTACCGCGTTGACATGGCACATTGCTAATTATGGGGTCATCAGTCCACATTACTAATAATCCTTTCCCACCACGTCAGTCAATCTATCATGAAATTACTTGGTTTCCAGGTGGAACTGCGTGGAGATCATCCTGACATGGTACATTGGGGTACTAATCTTCATTACTAACAATTCCCTATCAGCCAGACACCACCTATTGACGGCTACTATTATTTTAGCATTAAACTAACATCATCATCTGCTTCTTCCTTATCCCATTTATTTGTGGTCGGCGTAATATGTTTTTCTCTTCCATTCATCCCTGTTCGCAGTCATCTCGTTATTTACTTCCTTTCTTACCATATCATCTTTCACACAGTCCATCCATCTCTTTTTCGGACTTCCTCTGCCCTTATAACCATCCACATTCATATGTAACACCTTTCTTAAAATATTATCCTCGTTCCTACGCATTACATGTCCATACCATGATAGACGATTACTCTTTAACCTCTCCGACACTGGTGCCACTTTCATACTTCCTCTAATGTATTCATTCTTTATCTTATCCATTCTTGTCACACCACACATCCACCTCAACATTCTCATTTCAGTTGCATGCAATCGTCTTTCATCCGTCCTTTTCGGGCCAGCACTCTGATCCATACACACAGCAGGCCGGATCATGGTCCTGTAAATTTTCCCCTAAACTTAAGGGGAACACGCGAGTCTCACGTCGTTATCATTTAAATACACGTCGTTATCATTTAACTAATATTAGGTGTATTTAATATTCATAGGATTACTTTACCCAACCTTATTAGAGGGTATTTATTGTATTAAGATTTCTTTAGTCTATATGTTAATCAATATTAAAAAGATATGTACAGAAAATACAACCGAAATTAGCGAACAACACGACTTGTAGTTACTGCTACCCCCAATTTGGTGGATAATATCTTATTTATTATTCGATATTGGGTAGAACCGATCATCGTGGAGATCTGTGGGAGACCTTTGTTCAGCAGTGGACGTCTTCCGGACTGAGATGATGATTGGGTAGAAATAGATTGCAAGTGACGTTTAGAAATGGTTAAAGATTTGTATCAACTAATAACGAATCTAATTAATTGTAGTGCCCCTGCAGGGTTGTTGGATATTTATTATGTTTAACATATGTATAACAACATGAAGCAATAAAACGATTTGATATTGGATTTTAATGTATGTATGTATTTAATTTTATTACATTTAAGTTATTACTCATATATCAGTACTAGTACTTGAGTATCGATTAATGTTGTAAATTTTCAACCATCCCCGTTTCCAACGAATGCAATTATTGTAGAAATTTCTTAATCATCTTCATTTAAAAAATATTAGTAGCTTATTTAGCGAACGTTGTTTTATTTTATTTATTTTTTATTTATTAAAACTTTAATGGATGTAAAGGGAGAAGACGCCCTAAAAAAAGTTGGATGGATTGTGTGAAAGATGATATGAACAAAAGAAGAGTATGTTCAGATATGACGACCGATAGAGAGCAGTGGAAGAGAATGACATACTGTGCCGACTCCAAATAATGGGATAAAGGCAAGGCAATGATTATGATGAAAACTTTAATGCACAAATACAAAAATAAAGGTGCACATAGCGGACTTAACACCTTGAGGCATTTTCTCCCAGTCGTTGTTTTGTTATCCAAAAGTATCGCTATTAAATATATTGGCGTTGTATGTATTTTTAATACCGAATTATTAAAAATTAGAATTAAAATATTTGTACAAACTTAAAACAATACTGTGATGGGCCACTTAAAAGTATGAAATTTACAGTAATTGATTAATTCTCAGACCTACTGTATATGCGCACAAAATTTCTTAAGAATCGGTCAAGCCGTTTCGGAGGAGTATTGTTACAAACATTGTTACACATGAATTTTATATATACATATGTAGTATAAAATGAGGTCGCTTCCGTTGTCTGTTCGCATAGATCTTAGGTCTTAAATTACGCAACGGATCGTAATGAAATTCTCAGCAGTGGATTGAGTGATTCAGGTTGCCCTGAAAATATCGCTTTTAGCAATAAGGCCGCTTTATTGTAATCTTTACTTATATATAAATGCGAAAGTAACCTGTCTGTCTGTTTGTCTCACTTTCACGTCAAAACTACTGGACCGATTTAATTGAAATTGGTACACACATTGTCTAGACCCTGAGAAAGGACATAGGCTACTTTTTAATGCGTAAAAAGGGTTGTAAGATATTGAAAGAGGGGATGAAAGATTGTCATATTGTATAGAAAAATTGTCATTTTTGAAGCTGGAAGCTTGAAACTTATTTTTGAGGCTGTTGACTAAACATAAATAAATATGACAGAGTTTGTAAAATTTTACCCTTAAGGGGGTACAATAATGCAAGGGATGAAAGTTTTTTATGTAAATTCTTCATTTTTGAAGCAAGCTTTTATTGGGTTAGGTCATTAAATATTTTTTCATTGTTTTTGTCAAGGTCATTATTTTATGCGGACGAAGTCGCGGGAACAGCTAGTTATACATATGTTTAATATATAATTTATATATTTTCTTTACTGTATGTTACAAATAAAGTAATATTATATATATATCACCTCCTTTTGAAGTCGTTAACAGTAATATCGTCAGCGTATTCACTGTGGCAACAAACTGACTGTATATCTGTCTGTCATAAACAAATAAACTATAACTACTGATCCGTTGATATATGGCCGAGTGAATTTATTCGAGTAGCTTTCCATCAATGCATGTTATTATGGATAAAGTATATGTTTATTACAAAGTCATATAAATAGGACATTGAATAGTTGTATCCTTCATGAAGACCTTGGTTCGCCTACTTCGGGTTCGATTCTCGCACAATACAAACCTTTGTATTGTTGAGCATGACTGTTTATATATGTTTTTCTAAGTGTGTACATTATGCATGTATGATATATATAAAAATAAATGTAAGTATATCTGTTGTCTGTGTATGTTGTGGTCCCTTAATGTATTTTTTTTTATTTTAATATGTTAAAACATATTTTTATACAATTAGAGAGCTTAAGGATAACACAAAAACTACTGGGTCTTTTTGGATGAAATTTATATAAGATCAAAATTAAGATATACTGAACCACAAGTTTCAAACAAAAGAAGAATCATTAAAATCGGTTCTCGCAGAAAAATGTTCTAATGTAATACAATAAAATACAATCTAACTATAAGCCTACCCCTTTTTTAAGGTGAAAAAACAAAGTTCATAATCCAATTTACGCATGATCGAGAATCGAACACAAAATCTACACGTGTAACTATAAACTTAATTGTCACACAACCCCTAACCTACGGCTGGGTTGTTAATTTACGCGTGTAATGGAGTCACCCCATAATTGGGGTTATTAAATAACATGACACGACATAAATCTGTCGGTAAGGGGGTGACGTAAGGGTTGTCAGTTGATTAAATTAAGACCACACTTATTTGCAGGTTTCTTTTACTACAGTGACAAATTGGAAAGGCGACGGATGAAAGACGACTGCATACAACCGAAATGCGAGGAGTAAGGGAACTGTTAGCAATGGGGACTAATAAGCCTATTGCTGGCAATGTACCATGTCAGGTTGAAATCCACGCCGTTATCCCTGGAAAACAGAAAGATAAATTCCTGATGTATTTGTCACGATGGGCTAACTAACCTGATCTATGAGGTCTTCTCATCTTATCATCCTCCACTGGTGCCCCGTTAGGGTAAACTGTTAGTGCAGGCGAGTGCCGAGCGTTGAGAGCGAGTGTTGAGATATTCATCTCGTTATGTGATAAGAATGGACAAGATAAGAATGAATACATTAGAGGA